GCACGTCAATAAGGACATCAAGAAGGCCGACGTCAATCTCGGACACTCGTGGGAGAGCCGCGCCGCGCTGTCTGCGGGCGAGCAAGGCTTCTCCAGGCAGCGTCGCCAGGGCCATGCGCTAGAATTGCCCCTGTGCCAGCAGAGAGCGGCTCCCAAGTCAGAGCGACCAGCGTCAACGCCGACGCAGCCACAGGAGTTCAACGCGACGGTTCGGCTCAACCTGCGCGTTGAGTAGACGTCGACTGCGTATCCAGGATCGACCTCGACGACGTCGACTATAGCACCATTTTCTCGCAGTCTGAGGTGATGCAGAGCATGGGCCGTTAGGTTGCGGTGGATGCATGCTTCTCCACTTGGATCAAAATTGCAGGCGTTCCCATCGCTGTGATGCGCGACGTGGGAGGCGAACTCCAGGGCGAGACGACGGCTACGGCGGAACGATGACAGATGCAGGTCACATTCGGTCCAACAGAAGGCCCTGGGCTACAGGCCAAGCTCCACTGACATGGCGCAGTGATCGGAGTCATCGTGCGCATGGCCGTCGAGAAGCAGGGCATCGAGGGCGCGATCGTGATGAAGATGGCACTGCGCTGCGCGGCCAGGGTCAAGAACCGGGGGGGCCACTGGAGCGGCTACACCCGCGAGCACGAACTTTCGGAACACCAGATCGTCGACGTGGCTCGGCGCTCGATTCCTCCTGAGAGGCGAAAAACATCTGCTGGCGATGAGCAGGCACTGGCCGACGCGGCCGCGTGTGGTTCTTCCAGATCAGATACGCTCGGCAGTTCAGGCAGTCCTTGTCTGGTTAGGTCACGCGCATCGATGTCGACGAGCAGTGGTTACTGGGGCACGTGCCATTTACATCGTCTTGCTGATCGGTACTCAGATTGCATGCTGTTGGACGGGCGAGGCGAAACTTAATCGGAAGGGCAGACGCCTCAAGGCTGTCGATCGCTGGCGCGGTCCTGGTCCTGGAGTTATCGTTTGTAGCAAGGTGGGCAACTCCACCGATCCTGCGCGACGCCGAGGGCATTGGATATCTTGCGCTGCTACCCCGCTCTAAGTTGCTCCTGGACGCGTTCGAGAGGCGACGCGCATGGAGCAGATGATCCTTCGCCTGACGGGCCATGAAGGGCGCAGCGGGCGAGCTACGCGTGAGTGGCGGCGTCGAGGACTACCTGGGCACGACTGGAGGCGCTGACTCAGGTCGACGCCCCGCCTGCCGCGAGACGCCTTGAGGGTCGCGAAACATGCAGGGCCGATGGGGGGGGGCGGAGGCTGGACCGCCACCACCTGTCGCGCCAAAGTTGTTCAAGACACCAGCATTGCCACCGACTGCTCTCGGAGCGATTTCCGAAGTGCGCCCGACGCAGAAGACTTGCCAGTGCCAGACGACGCCCCGAAAGAGATCCTGACCCTGCAGCTCAAGCCGACCTCCAAGGCGAAGCATGGGCGAGCTAGACCCCCAGAGTTTCAACCAGACGGAGCAAGGCGCGTTCGGGGGGGCCGACCTCCAGCAGAGGGCGGAGCACTTGGGAATGGAAGCCATCGAGATGGCAAGAACACGGAGGACACGCGACATTGCATCTTCCTGGCGCCGGCGCGACTCGCGAGGGCCAACTGGGCGCCCGAGGGCAACGGGCTGGAAGCGAGTTCGTGGTTGGTCTTGCCTGGCCATCTGCTTCGAAAAGGAAAGTCATCGGGCGGCGCGCGGACGGACAATCCGACGGCTGGACTGACTGTCCTGCGTCAGGTGCTGTCGCTGGCCGTGCACTTCGGCTGACATCTTGATTCCTCGATGCGGGGCTGGCCTATCGCGGGGCGCCGCATGGGGCCGGGGGTTGTGTTTCCGACCCTACCTGATGGGGCACCTGGCATACCGAGCAGATGTCTGGTTCTAGCCTTGAATGGCCCATGTGGTATTCCTGCGAAGAAGGCAGGGTCTGAGCAAATGCCCTGGTGCCGACGCTAACTCTGCCTGAAGATCAATGGCAAGATTTGCGGGCCACTGCGTGCGCGTGGACGCCGCCGCCATGACAGGATAATGCGGCTATGGGAACATGGTAAAGACGAGGCTTTCAAATCCCCGAAGCACGGGCACGGCGGCGATGTCGCGCCCCTGCAGCGGCCTATCGTTCGCTGGCCCAACGGCGAAATCCATGGTGCCGCGGAAGAGGGGGCGCCGAAGATCAGAGTCGCCGCTTGCGAACCTCTACGATTGATCATTGGAGATTTACCCGGCCAGCGCGCGAGGCCTTCCCCGCGTTCGCCTGCGACGTGCCGGACCGCCAGAAGAGAGTTCCAGGATTGCGGCGAGGGCGTTCGCCAGACCTTCAAGAACCATCCAGGAACCTGTCAATGGAGATCGCGCGAGTAAATGGCACCAGCAGGGTGGCGACAGGACTACGCGCGCGCGCGCCTGTTTCGACCGACGGCCTCGCGAAGTCAGCCAGCGCGGATGCATGGTGCCACGGGGGAGGGGTCGGCGCCTAATATTCGACGACTGCTTTCCTGCTTCCCCCGCGGCATGGGGTTCGACCAAGTTTCCTCGAGTAGCGCGGTCCGTTGGCCACCGAGGCAGCTGCATTTGCAACGGGATGCGATATGCGTGTGTACGCACTTGAGATCGTGGCCTATCCGCGGGGAAGCTGGACGGGCGAGTGGACGACCGCTGCTTGTTCCCACTGTGACGTGGGAAAACTGCAAGAGCTTACGCGACAGCCTGCGGTGGGCAGCATTCCCGCCGACCGCGGGATCACGCAATATATCTGCGAAGTACGCCAGTATCTCGACCGCGACACCTGTTATGGGCCAGTGCCAATGCCATGTTTGTCGACCCGCTACCAGCACTCTTGGGCAAGCTGGATTCCACACCGCTGCGCGATTTCCTACAGACGGGCCCCCTAAGCCCGACGTTGCTGACGGATTGGTATTACATTAGTTCGAGAGTCTGAGAGGCCCCGCGGAAGCCCGGTGAGCCCATCCAGGGACGGAGGGTTCAGCTTTCAAGAGTTTCACGTGTGTGAAGCTAGAAGCAAGATAGCAGCCACATGCATACCTGTTGTTTCCCTTTGGCCTGCCCTTTTTGGTCGGGGGTCCCATCCTGGGCACTCGCGTGCCCCGAGGGGTCCAGGGCCTTGCTGAGGCCCCGACCTGTGCCGAGCCTTTCCCCCGTCCTCGCTTTTCCCTCCCCGCGCGGTGGCCTGGCCGCTGCTGTACTGGCCCGACGCAGGCCTTGGGTCGCATCGGCTTGGAGCGAAAAGGCGGCCGCGCCCGTCCTCCCCACTGGCGGCCGCAGCCGCCGCGCGATCGGCCCCCGCGGGGCTTGGGCCTACCGGAGGCCTACGGCAGCAAGCTGGAGGGCTCCCGAGAGCCCAATGCCAAAGCATATATGTCAGACAGCGAAACGTTGCTAGCGCGTCCTTCGCACGAGGATCGCGCCGCATCGCCGATGCATCGGCGATGCGGGTCGATGTGGATCCCGATTTTCTTCACGTCGACGTCGCCAGAGTCGCCGACGATGCCGATGCATCGCCGATGCATCGCCGATGCATCGCCGTGCGATCCTCCGACCCCATCTACCCGGACCCAATCAAGGATGCTTCTAGTAGTGCGGTTCAGCGCGAACGCGGCTCGACCAAAGCGTCCGATCCTGCAAAACCTTGCGAGGCTGGAGCTTGGCCGAGCGGGGTTTGGAAGCCGCTTCCGGCGTCTGAAGCTGCCTTACGCTTTGGCTGACGCGGGTTCACTGAAGCCCCGAGAAAAACTGCAGCGCATTTGTTCTACATTGTCTGAGCTTGTTTTGCGCTGCGCCTGGTCGATATGCGCCCGAAGGAGGCCGACGACGTGATGGCCGCGGGAGGCGCGGTACCCCCCTTCAGGTGCAACGTTGCAAGGAAACGGGCCCAAAGAGGGACATTGAGATTCGAGGTTTTTGCACGTTTCCGCCAGTTTTCGGCGGATTTCCAGCCTCGGGGTGCGTTCCAGCAGCTGCGCCGTGCCGAGAGCGTTTCGGGGTGTCCAGATTGCCCCCTAGGGCCGCTGAAACGCTGATCGATGATCAGAAAGCCAGCCTGGAAACCAATGGGCAACGCTAAGATGGGTGATAGGGTCAGCGGGGAACGTGTCGCTTATGTGGGCCTGATAGCCCACCCCGCCCAGGAACGCGCGGGTTCGCCATGATTAGCCATCGGGGGCCGGCCTATCGCGGATTCATCGGCGAAGTATCGACGTTTCCGTGCCGATGTTTCCCCCCTGAGCTGGTCCTTCTAACGTTGCACCTCACCCCCCGGACATTCAACGCCTTAGAATTGCCGTGGACGATCAATAGAGAGGAAGCATGTTGCCAAATAATTTCCAGATGTCTAGAACATGTGTTAACACGATCTTAAACATGTAAAACGCATGTTTGAGACATTTTTAGAACATGCTTTACACATGTTAAACGCATGTTTAATTCAATGGTCGGATTGTTAGAGTCTCCATTGTCGTGGCATCCACAACCCTAGAAACCTATCAAGACGGGAGGTCTTCGCCGTTTTTTCGGCCCCTAGGGGGCTCTCGCTGGGACGCGGGGCCCTCAGAGGGCGACTCGGGAAGAGCCGCTGGTCGTGGGAGAGGGGTCTGGACTTCGGGGATGGCGTCTTGACCGACAACAGGTCCGAGGCGGGAATGTATACATGACCACCGCCTGGAGGGTCAGTCTTCGGAGCCTCGGCAGGCGGTGGACATGGACGTATTCGGGCCCTTGGGGGCCGATATATCTATATATGCATATATATATATAGATATAAATATATCCATATCCACCGCCCGCTGGGGCACCAGGACGTCGGTTCCCAGGCGGTGGATACGGATAAATCCCCGCCTCGCAGACAGGGTCTCTCGCAGACCGTGACACCAACACCAACATCGGCGGCGTGCCTCCACCGAGGGAAGAGGATCCCGATCTCGGTGATGGTGGCAGCACTCTGGCTCCCAAGCTGGCCGAACCGTTACCACCAGCGTCGAAGTCCAGGATCGTCTTCCCCCTGTGGAGGCACCCCCCCGCTGTGTTGGTGTTGGTGCCCCTCTCCAGGCCTCCCAAAAACAGGGCCTCGCATGGTGCGGCCCTGCGTCGGGCCTCCCGCCAGAGGCTGTGCCGCCCCGCGCGCGGCCGGCGAGGAGGTGGAGGGGCGCGCGGCGGCGGAGAAGCTCCGCAAGAGGGCGGCGGAGGAGGAGGCTGTCGGCAGGAGTCGGGGACACGTGTATAAGTCAGAGGAGGAAAAGGTACCGATACCGCTCCCCTTCGCCCGTTTTTCCCTTTATCCTTTATCGGCCTCCTCGGAGGCTCTCGTTGTCACCGGTAGATTCGCCTCGAAATCCTGGTCAGAACGCACCCCAGGAGAGGTCCGGGGAGTAGCGGTATCGGTACCTATTGGTTTCCCTCGTAAGACTCGAGTAAGCTGGAATTCGGGTCTGTCGACCCTTTTGGACGAGCACGTCCTGGATTTTGACGGTCCCGTGTTCGTGGGATGTCTGCAGCGGGAGGAGGAGGCTGTCAGCAGGATCACCACCCACCAAACCACCCCAACCCAACCCGAAGGCCTCCATTTGCCCTCCATCTCCAGTGGGAGGGGGGGTCGGGGAACGTTGAGAAAACCCACGTGGGCCCCGTACCCCCCCGCCCAACCCGAAGTTCGAGTCAGATTCGGGTCTTCGGGTTGGGTTGGGGTGGTCTGGGGGGCACAGTCGGCCCGGATTGGTAGGTCGACCCTGCCAGCTCAAGGGCACCCTTGCGTCCTGTGCCCCCCTCGACGCGTGCCCTCTGGCACTCCCCGTGGCGCGGTGTGGCCCTCGGCCGGGCCTTTGTGTCCTCTCGCGTGCCCCGTGCAGTCCAGGCCGACTGGTGGTCCGCGGGCGGGCCGCGGAGGTGGGGCTGGCCTGGAGGCAGGCGGGGCGGAGGCGGAGCCCTCGGCGGAAGAGGGCCTTCGGGCCGGGTCGGGGTGGGGTGGTGGGTCGGGCCTTCGGGTCGGGTTGGGGTGGTCTGGTCCAGAGCGTGAATTACCTACCCCGCTTTCGCTTCCAGGCAAAACCAAGCCACACCACGCGCCTCCTCGTCAAGCGGCCCGACCAGCACAGGCCGTAGTTTGGCATCCTCTGGTGTCTCTTGGAAGCGAGGGTGGTCAGAAGCGAGGCAGGCTTGTTTTCCCCCTACTGGTGGGTCGTCCCTTACTTTGTGAGGGCGAATCCCTAAGATTGTCATCGCCTTTTGGGCGTGTCAATCTTAGGGATAGGGATACGCTCGAGGCTGGCAAGGGTCGGGCCTTTGGGTCGGGTTGGGGTGGTCTGGCGGGCAGTCCCGCAGGAGGGCCGCGGAGATGGAGCTGGCCTGGAAGCAGGCGGCGGAGGCGGAGCGGCGGCGGAAGCGGGCGGCAGAGCAGGCGCCCCCCCGCGGGCCCGCCGCGCCGGCGCCGGGGGCCGCGGCGCAGAGCCCGCTCGTGGGCTGGCGGGGGGCCGACGACGAGCTCGCGGACAGGCTGCGGGCGCGCAGGGCCTTCGAGGCGAAGAGCGCGGGCGGGGCAGCCGAGGAGGCGCTCGGCGGCGGATCAGTCTGCACGAGCGAAGTGGGAACGGAGAGAATGGGTAATTACAAGGCCCACCAGCGGCTCTTGCGCATTTGGAAGAGGGCTCGCTGTCCACGCCGCCGCGGCCTGTGTCCATGCGAGACCGAAGGCCGCCTGCCCAACAGCGGCCGCTGTTGGTTTGGGGCAGCATGTGTTGTTGGGCATTGTACCCATTTTTTCCGTACCCGTTTCGGGCGTCCAGAATCATGGGGGCCCCGCGTGCCCACGTTCCGCGTCTAGAATGCAGTCGCGCCGGCTAGCTGCTGGTCGTCGCCGAGGGCGCGCCGATTCAGCGTCGACCATAGCGTCGATGATCGTTGATGTAAGCGTCTACTCGCGTCGACGAGCGTCGATTCGCGAGAGCCCACAAGATGGTACGGAAGGCTCCCATGAGTGGCCGCAGAAGAGGTGGCCGTGGCCCAAGTCGGCTCCGGCGGGCACGACGGCGCGGCGGGCGCCGAGACTGCCGCGGGGGCTGCCATGGCGCCTGCTTGTGCCCGGGAGTGCGACGGGTCGCGGGCCTTGGAGCCTGCCGTGGCGGAGACCGCAGAGCACTGCGGCACTGACCAGCGCGACGGTGGAGCGGCCGCGCCGGCGCCGGGGGCCGCGGCGCAGAGCCCGCTCGTCGGCTGGCGGGGGGCCGACGACGAGCTCGCGGACAAGCTGCGGGCGCGCAGGGCCTTCGAGGCGCCCCGGCCGGCCCGCGCCGCGCAGGCGCAGGCCGCCGCGGCTGCCGCGGGGGCGCGGGCCGTGCAGCTGACCCCGGAGGCCGCGGTGCCCAGTGGCTCCGCTGGCGGCGACGGCGCCGCGGCCGCGGGGCCCACCGTGGCGCGTGCAGGCGCTGGGGGCAGCGAGCCGGCGCCGACGGTGGAGCCCGCCGCGGAGGTGCTCGCGGCGCGCGCCAGCACAGGCGGGGGAGGCGTCGTGGAGGCTGCCGCGCCTGCTGCCAGCACCGGAGGATGCGGCAGCGTGGGGGTGGAGCACGGCGCGGAGGCTGCCGCGGTGTGCAAGGTCGCCGACGGAAGCGACGCCTCGGCAGTCCCCGAGCCTGTCGCAGAGGCCGCCGCGGCCCCTGCCGGCGCTGTGCCGCACGTCGGCGCCGACGAGGGCGGCTGCGCGGCCGCCGCCGCAGTCGAGCCTGGCACAGAGGAGGCTGTGGCCCCTTCGAGAGCCCCGGGATGCGACGAGGCGCCGGCCGCGGAGCTGGCAGCAGAGGCGGCCGCAGCACACGTCGACCGAGCGCCAGCCTCCGAGCTTGCCGCAGGGGAGGCGGCCGCGGCGCCCGCGGGAGCCGAGGCGCGCAGCCCCGCGCCGGGGCCCGCGGCGTGCTCCGCGGAGGCGGCCGACGAGGCGCCCGCCGCGACGGGGCCACCGGCAAGGACCTCCACGTTTGCCGAGGCCAGGATTATGTCGGGCGTGTCCCCCTACAGGGGGATTTTCGACGAAAAAGGCAACAAGTACCCCAACAATATTTCCAGAAGGCAAAACAATACTCAAAAAATAGTCCCCATATTGAATTTGGAGTATTTTTTGGTTAGTTGTGGGGTATCTTCTATTTTTCGTCGAAAATCCCCCTGTAGGGGGACGGGCCTGACTTCAGGCCAGGAAGCAGGCCGCTCTGGAGCGGGCGCGCGCCAAGGCCAGGGAGCTGGAGGCCTCCCGGGTGGCCGCCGCAGCCGCCGCCGAGGGCCGCCTCGCCGAAGGCCGCCCGAGTCGGGCACGCCTCTTCGCAGGAGGAGTTTTCTTCGAGCACGGTCAAAGATTGTCTGGGGACGATGTTTCGACCACTGTTGGACTATTGTGAAGCATGTGTGGACTTCAAAAGATTACGCGACCGAGGGACCCCACATACTGATCATGTTTCTTGCGTGGTGATAGCTGCACCCTCTCTGGTGTCGAGAAAGTGCCACCGCTGCCGCGCTTTCCGACCCTGGCACGCATAGAGGCCGCGCTGAGGGACCGTCCCCTGCGCACCCTCTCTGGTGCCGAGAAAGTGCCACCGCTGCCACGCTTTCCGACCCTGGCACTCATAGAGGCCGCGCTGAGGGACCGTCCCCTGCGCACCCTCTCTGGTGTTGAGAAAGTGCCACCCCTGCCACGCTTGCCGACCCTGGCACGCATAGAGGCCGCGCTGTGGGACCGTAGCCTGCGCACCCTCTCTGGTGTCGAGAAAGTGCCACCGCTGCCACGCTTTCCGGCCCTGGCACGCATAGAGGCCGCGCTGAGGGACCACCCTGTGCGCACCGTCTCTGGTGTCGAGAAAGTGCCACCCCTGCCACGCTTGCCGACCCTGGTACGCATAGAGGCCGCGCTGAGGGACCACCCTGTGCGCACCCTCCCTGGTGTCGAGAAAGTGCCACCCCTGCCACGATATCCGATCCTGGCACGCATAGAGGCTGCGCTGAGGGACCGTCCCCTGCGCACCCTCTCTGGTGTCGAGAAAGTGCCACCCCTGCCGCGTTTTCCGACCGTGGCCCGCATAGAGGCCGCGCTGAGGGACCACACTGCGCGCACCCTCTCTGGTGTCCAGAAAGTGCCACCCCTGCCACGCTTTCCGACACTGGCACGCATAGAGGCCGCGCTGAGGGACCACCCTGTGCGCACCGTCTCTGGTGTCGAGAAAGTGCCACCCCTGCCACGCTTTCCGACACTGGCACGCATAGAGGCCGCGCTGAGGGACCACCCTGTGCGCACCCTCTCTGGTGTCGAGAAAGCACCCTCTCTGGTGTCGAGAAAGTGCCAAACCTGCTATGCCCTGCGACATTGGCGCGTATAGAAACCGCAGTGACGGACCACCCCCTGCGCACCCCCTTTGGTGACGAGAAAATGCCACGCCTGCTATGCCCTGCGACAGTGGCGCGTATAGAAACGGCACTGAGGGACCCCCCTGCGCACCTCCTTTGGTGACGAGGAAGTGCCACGCCTGCTGTGCTGTGCTGTGCTGTGCTGGTCTGTGCTGTGCTGTGCTGCGCTGTGCTGTGCTGTGCTGTGCTGAGCTGTGCTGTGCTGAGGTGCTGTGCTGTGCTGTGCTGAGCTGTGCTGAGCTGAGCTAAGCTGTGCTGAGCTGTACTGCGCTGTTTGAGAAGGAACATGGGGAGTGAGGGTCGCAGGTGCGAAGCGGCAGGGATGAAAACCCAAACCCCACAAAACATGTGGGGAATTTAACTGTTCTTCCAAACCCCCCTCTGGTGGAGGACGTGCCCGACCTAACCGAAGGCTCCGTCGCAGCCCCGCCGGCGCCGCCAGGGGGCGAGCCGTCGCCGCCGCGGCCGGCGGCGCCCGAGGGCCCCACGGCCCCGGTGCCCTTGCGGGATGAGGTTGCCGCCGCTCCCCGCGGCAATCCGTTCTCGAAGGTCTGCGTGGACGGCCTCGACGATCCGGAAGAGCAGGCCGAAGGTGATGGGCCTGTTTTCCACGGCCAGTGCCAGAAGTGAAATGGAATGGGAAGGGAAGGCAAGGCAAGGCAATGGTAGGAGGAGGGGGAGGAGGAGGGGGAGGAGGAGGGGGAGGAGGAGGAGGAGGAGGAGGAGGAGGAAGAGGAATAATAATAATAATCATAATAATAAAAAGACGAAAAATAATAAGAATAATAATACTAAGAAGACAACTAATAACAATAATGATAGGAATTGCGAATCATAGTAAGAAGAAGAGGAAGAGGAATCATAATACTACTACTAATAATAAGCATGATAATAATGATAATAGTCATAACAATCATACTAATCATAGTAACAATAAGAAATACTACTAGCACTAGGAGTAATAATGATAATAATACATAATACTACTAGTAATACTAGTAATACTCGTAATAATATTATTACAAATACTATTAACAATATCAATCGGAAGACGAATCATAATAAGAAGACGAGGAGGAGGAATCATAACCATAATACTAATATTAACACTATTGGTAATAATCGTAATAATCATTATAATAATGGTAATAACAATGATCATACTACTACTACTAATAATAATAATAATGATAATAAGAAAAGTGATAATAATAGTCTTACTAGTAATAATAGAAATAATAATGACACTACTAATACTAATACTACTAATACTAATCATGGTTTTTATTATAATAGTATTAATAACGCTACTACTACTACTACTACTACTACTACTACTACTACTACTACTACTACTACTAATATTAATACTAATACTAATACTACTACGATTAATAATAATAGTAATAATAATACTAATACTACTACGACTAACCCGGATAAGCGATTAAGGACCCCCCCCCCCTCTCCGGTGAAAAGATAACGCACCCGGCACCCGGAAGCGTTATCCTGGCACCAGGAGGGTGTACACCCTCCTGAAAGAATGAGGAAACGCATGCGGAGGAGTCAGAGAGCTTCAGTGGCCACGCGTCTTTCCAGTGCTCGACCCTCGCTGTTCGGTGCCGTAACCATGTACACTGATCCACTCCTACTCTGGCTCGGGGATTTATTTTGGTCCTGCCGGGTGCTAAGATAACGCCGCGGTGCGGGGCGGGGGCGATACCCTGGGATGGACCACCTCCTCCGACGGCCGAAACAAATAATTTTTCCAAAGGGGTTGCAATAGACATCTCATTAGAAAAATGGGGGCTGGAGGAAGAGAAGGAGGAGGAGGAGGAGGAGGAGGAGGAGGAAGAGGAGGAGGAGGACAAGGAGGAGGACGCGCTCACAGACAAGGCTCCCGCCTTGGACTTCCTCCATACTCAGGCCTTGGGGGTACTCTGCGAGGGTCACTGCGAGGGTCACAAGTTCTCCTTAGCTTTTCCTTAGTTGTCCTTAGCTTTTCCTTAGCTTTACATTAGTTTTCCTCAGCTTTTCTTACGTTTTCCTTAGCTTTTCCTTAGCTTTTCCTTAGCTTTTCAATAGTTTTCCTTAGCTTTTCATTAGTTGTCCTTAGCTTTTCTCAGCTTTTCCTTAGCTGTTCTTCGCTTTTCTCAGCTTTTCTTGATCTTTTCCTGAGCTTTTCTCAGCTTCTTCTTAGCTTGTCTTAGCCTTTCCTTAGCTTTCCTCAGTTTTTCTCAGCTTTTTCTTAGCTTTTCTAAGCTTTTCCTTAGCTTTTCTCAGTTTTTCCTTATTCGTATTCGTATTCTTATTTTCATTACAATTCTAATTGGGATGCCACCCGAGGCGGGGCGCTGGAATTATTTATTTTCCTTCCATGTGCGCGGTGCTAATAATATCGCTCGGCGAAAACCCCCCCAAATAATTATTTACTTACGGCGCGGTGCTAATGATAACGCCGGGGGGTTCCTTAATTGCTTCTCCGGGTTAATACTAATACTACTACTACTACTACGACTACTACTACGACTAATATTAATAATACTAATATTATTAATATTCTTATCAATAGTGATTCTGACACCCTCCTCTGTGCGCCTATTTTGGCTCAAGATGAAAAGGAGATATTGTTGCCCATCGGCATATTATCTCATCATGGTAGCGTGAGCTGGCCACTCACTGCTGCCGACCCCACCCAGGCCTCGGCGCGCCGCGGCCGCGGGCGCCACGGCGAGCCAGCAGGAGGCTCGAGGCTGGAAGAGGGCGGCATCGACCGCGGCAAGCTCGGCAGCGTCCGAGCGACCGGCAGGGGCCGGGAAAGGCGGCCGCAGGCGCGGCAAGCGGAGTGAGGCGGCGATCGAGACCAGGCGCAAGGCCCTCCAGTTCAAGCACGACTTGAGGGAGACTGGCAACCAGCTCCGAGACCTCGCACATATCGAGGACCATCCCTCGGAGAACTCATCGGACGCCATTGAGGAGGCGCAGAAGGAGGTCCTAGGCAGGATCACGGACCTTGAGCGCACGAGGCAGGAGATAGCAGAGAGCCGGGAGGAGCTCGCCGAGAGACACGCTGTCAAGCATGGACGAGCAGGTTCGGCAGCAGTTCGAACTGCTGAGGCAGGAGTTCGCGGCTCAAATAGGCCAGGCCGCCGACGAGATGAGGAGGCTGGAGAGCGAGAGTCAGCGTCTTCAGCAGCAGGTGGCAGGAGGCCTCGCGGCAATCCCGCAGGCGATCGAGCGGATGGGCGAGCAGATCCGGGGCGCGTCGAGTACGGGCACAGCCGTTCACGGTCTCGTCGACACGAAGGGGATCGGCAAGCCCACGACGATGGGCGACGATCAAGAGAAGTTCGGCGCTTGGAATCGCAAGATGGAGAACTACGTGATCGGCGTGTACGGAGAGAGTTTTCGTCCCGTTCTTCGGTGGGCGGCAGAAGCCGAACGCCCCGCGACGATCGCAGGGGCTCAGGCGGCGCACGACGGAGTGCCAGAGCTGGAGACAAAGGTCAACCAGCTGTACGCGGCGCTGATCAGCACGACGGCGGACGGGAGCGAGAGCAACGACCTCGTGACGGGCGCTCCCGATGGGAACGGTCTCGAAGCCTGGCGGAAGCTCCACCGCAGGTGGGATCCGACGACAGGTCCGAGGAAGAGGCTGATCCTGAGGTCGATCATCTCGCCTCCGAAGTGCAGCGCGGACGAGCTGGGGTCCGCCTTAGAGAAGTGGATCCAGCAGATAGGCAGGTACGAACGCCGCCAAGGAGAAGATGGTCTAGCCGAGCTGCCGGAGGATATCAAGATGGCGGCTCTCGAGATGCTCGTCCCTCAGGACATCGAGAACCACCTCGTCCTCAACAAGCATCGGCTCGAAACGTTCCAGGACAGTCTGAACGAGGTGATGACGATCGTGGAGGCTCGTACCGGCGTGAAGATCAAGGAGCCATCGATCCGTGCGCGGGCGCATCATCCGGACGACATGGACGTCGGGTCGTTCGGAGCCCCGAAGGGCAAAGGCAAAGGCAAGGGCAAGGACGGCAAGAGCAAAGGGAAAGGCAAGACTCAGGAGCCGAAGGGGAAGAGCAAATCGACGAACGGATCATACTCAGGCTCCCGCACATCCCCGACGGGTTCGGGCCGTGGTTCAGGGCACACGGCACCTCGATACACCAGCGGGCGCTTCGACGGCTACTGTCGGAACTGCGAGAGATGGGGCCACAAGGCATCCGACTGCTGGAAGAAAGAGCAGGGATCGAGTTCGAGGGCTGGAACTGGATCCGCAACGGGGGCAAGCGCTGGTGGTAAAGCCGGTAGCCGCGGCGGCAAGGCCGGCGGCAAGGCTGCAGGCAGCCTGGAGGAGGAGCCTGAAGCGGAGGTCGCCGCTCTGGACATGGGCAGCCTGGACTGCCTGGAGCTCGCCAGCGGCAGCGGCCGCGGCGTAGCGGCGGTCGATCTCTCTCCCTTCGCGCAGGACGACTGGATGAAGTTCAACTGGGACAGCGGTGCAGCTATCTCAGCATTCCCTCGGAGCTTCGCGCCGCCGACGGGAATGAAGGGCAACGGCAGCACGTATCGTACGGCCAGTGGTGAGCTCGTCCCGGACGAGGGCAGCTTGCAGCTCAAGGCGGAGGACGAGTACGGAGTGCTACGAGCACTCAAGGGACGCGTGACGAACGTGCACAAGCCGTTGATCTCGGTGGGGCAGGCAGCAGGAGCTGGACAGTGTTCATTTCTGGGCCGCAATGGCGGCTGGATATTCCACGAGAAGAGCCCAATCGGCAAGCGCGTGGTAGGCATGCTCGAGAAAGAGGCGAAGGCGGCGAAGCACCAGATGCTGCCGGTCTATCGCGAGCAGGGCGTCTACAACTTCTACCTCAAGAAGGGCCAACATGGCTCGGTTGCTCCTCTCGAGGAGGGACTTTCGGCGAAGTCGAAGTCCGAGCTGGTGGAGCTCCTCAGCGGCAAGTCGAAGGAGGAGCTGATGGAGATCCTCGAGAAGACAGTCCCCAGGAGGCAGCCCTCGGCGTAAGCCCACTGGAGGACTTAATACCACGGCCCCCGGCGGCATCGGCTGCGGGGGCGGCAGCGGCGGGGTCGGGGCCTTCCGACGTGAGACCGCCGGGTTTTCAGCCAGCGGCAGCTGCTGCGGCCGACGCTTTGCCAGCTGCTCCTGACGGACAGCAGGCCGACGAGGGCGAGGAGGAGGCTCGCCCGAGAGTGCTGAAGGCACCTCATGAGCCCTCTCAGAGGGAGATCGCCGAACACGAGGCGATGGGACACGCGACTTACCGCAGCTGGTGTCGCGTGTGTATTGCGGCAAAGGGCCAAGGCCAGCCGCATCTCCGCGCACCGGAGGACGACGAGACAGCGGTGCCGGTGGTCTCGTCCGACTACGCCTTCATGGGCCAGGACGACGCGGACACCATGCCGATGCTGGTCCTTAGGGATCGGCGCTCGAAGATGATGGCGGCGACATTCGTGGAGAAGAAGGGCGACGACGCCTACGCCATCAAGTTCTTCGCACGCTTCTTGCGGATCCTGGGCTACAGGAAGATCGTCAACAAGTCCGACGGCGAGCCAGCGATCCTGCTGGTCAAGAGGCGTGCGGTGGAGGAGGTTCCTGGCCTCGAGGCCATTCCCCAGGAGTCGGCACCGGCCGATCATCAGGCCAATGGGGAGATTGAGGTCACGGTGCGCGAGATCAAGAAGCAGGTGCGGGCGCTCAAGATGGACCTGGAGTCCAAGCTGGGCGTCAAGGTGGAGGACAAGCACCCGGTGCTAGCGCACCTGCCGGAGCACGCCGCATCGGTAATCAACCGATACCGGCGCGGCCAGGACGGCAAGACCGCTCTTCAGAGGCTCACGGGACGGCAGTGGAGGAAGCCGGTCCCGCTCTTCGGCGAACGCTTGATGGCGCGGTTCGCCGGGGAACGCGTGAGGAAGAACGCGCTGGAGGAGCAGATGGTGGAGGCTCGCTACATCGGCCACCACCCGCGCGACGGCTCGATGATGGTCATCACGAGCGACGGCGTGAAGAAGGCGGTCGGCTTCCGCAGCCTGCCGCAGAGCGAGAAGTGGATCACGGCGGGCTGGGATGGCCTGAAGGGCCTGCCGTGGGACGTGGCTCCGCGTGCGGCGAGCGCGCCGCGGGCCATCGTCGGACCTGGAGAGGTCGGTCCGTCACCAATTGTGGTGGTGTCGCCGCAGCCGCAGGCGCCGAGGAGGATGTACGTCCTCAAGGCGGACGTCGAGCGGCTGGGCGCAACGCCGGGATGCCCAGGGTGCGTCTCGATCGCTAAGCACGGCCGGGTGCTGGCTGGCCACGCGCACAACGCGGTGTGCAGCAAGAGGATCTTCGAAGCGCTGGACGCGGAGGAGGCAGGCCGGGAGAGGACCGGCCAGTATCGAGAGCGGAGGCAGGGCCAAGAGGCCAGAGTCCGACCGGCGGCATCGGCCGCGGCAGGGACCCCTCCGCCGAAGACGGCTCGGAGGATCACCGAGCCGGTGGCAGCGGCGGCAGCGGCATCGGCCGCGCCGGCCGCGACCCGCTCGGCAGCAGCGCCAGCCGCGGCAGCCACGGCGGCGCGCCGGCGAGAGAGCCAGCCGGTAGCACCGGGCTTCGGCGTGGCGGCTCCTTCAGGAGGAGCGAGCTCCAGTTCGGGAGCGGCGCGAGCGGCAGAGGCCGCCGCGGATGTCGACATGACCGCGGCTAGGTCGCGGCTGAAGCGCTCGGCAGAGGTGGCCCCGGATGATGTGCCGGAGGCCCTCGAGCGCGGTGATCCACAGCCGGCAGACGTGCCGGTGCCGGTGGACATGGAGGATCTCGCGGCGCAGCCGGCGCCGGCGGAAGGACCTCAGCTGCCAGCTGGAGTGGCAGTCGTGTGGAACGCCAGTGAGGGGAGGCACATGCGGGTGCTCGCCCTCGATGTGGCGTCGATCGAGCTGGTTGAGCTCGGAGTGCTGACGAGAGCGAAGGCGGAGTTGCTCCCGCTCGTTCGCGAACAGGTCAGTGGCCAGTGGGCCAGCGCCGGCGTGGACATCGCCGACGAGGAGGTGGACAGCATCGCCCTATCGGCGTTGCAGCTGGGCGCCGTGGACGTGGCCGAGGTGTACTCGCCACATCGGTTCTCGGCTCGGGCAGCGGACTTTCAGCTGCGCCCGGGCTTCGCGGCGGACCTGGAGGAACTCAAGGAGGACGGGGCGCCGTGGGACTTGCGGCGCCCCGAAGATGTCAAGGAGCTCGAGAAGCAGCAGGAGCGGATGGATCCCATCCTGCTCACGGGGCCCCCTCCATGCGAGAAGTTCAGCTTGCTGAGGGGCCTGAGCGCCAAGTTCAGGACCGATGAGCAGGAGGCGGCTGAGATGGAGGAGGCCAGACACCACCTGAAGGTGGCAGTCGACGCCTACTGGCGTCAGCTCAGGAAGCCAGGCAGGAACTTCCTGCATGAGCATCCCTGGAGCGCGCGATCGTGGAATGAGGACATCGTCAAGGAGCTGGTCGCGCATCCAGGAGTCTTCACGGTCAAA